GAGCGTGCCCGCTCTGACCGGTTTTAAAGGGTTAATTAAAAAAGAGTAATGTGTTAAATATATTACACAGAGCGGGCCCATGCCTCCAAACACGCTCTTTCCAGTTTTTATCTAGGTATGATTCCCCAGTTCTAAAAGCAGTTTGTTCTCATTTTAGTACCCCACCCTCCCTCCCCTTTTGTAATGCTTTTGTCACGGTGTACAAGGTGGACTCATGCGCTGGACTCCGGGGATTGATGTACACAAGAGAATTTATTAACGTACAATGTCCAACAAGTGTATATACAAAAGGTGTGGGGCAGTGCTACAGAAAAAAGGTGAGAGGGGCAGGGCTCCAGGAGAAATCCAGGGGAACACTCTCGTTTCTCTCCAAACAATCCACACACGAGCTCACGTCTTTCTCCAAGCAATCCACACACGAATCCAATCTCTCTCCTCGAACACTCGCCGCTCAAGGAACACTAGGGAAAACAGTCCAGAGGGTCTGCGCACAAAGACACGCTTGTTAGTTTCAAACACACAACTATACGGAAAAACACTTGCTAGACGCTTGACTTTCACTGACGCGATTCACACAACAATCCAGCGAAGAACAGCCTTTGATTCCTGGCTTAAATGCCAGCCACACTAATGAGGCACCGGTGTTTCTTCCTCCGAGGGTGTAATCAGTTCCGCCCTGGCGAGAGAGAGAGAGATAGAGATAGAGAGAGAAACAGCTGATCAGCGACCATCTGAACCTCCAGGCTGTTACAGCTTTCACTTCTTCACTTCTCATTGATACATGGGGATCCATCCCCTCCTAGGCTTTCCCCAAACTGCAGCTCAATTTGTGTCTAAGCCATTCAACTTTGTCTACTAAAAACACCATCAAAAAAAAAGTTCTATTGTATAAATTATATTGATGTACTCAGGTAAGGGTGAAAATTGTTCCAAAAACTGATGTTCGAATGAATTCATGGCATATATGCAATAGGAAGTTCTAGTACATTAAGGATTCATTTGGGAATGGTAACTCAGAATAATTTATGGAAAAGGAATTTAAAAATTGTACTTAATACATACATACGTTCATATTTAAGAGTATGTGAACTTATCTCCTACAGCTACGGGGACAAAAACGGAAGTGACAGGAGCAACGACCAGCACGCCTCCTCCGACAACAACCACCACTGCCCCACCGACCACCACCACCACATCACCTCCCACAACAACCACCACTACCCCACCGACAACCACCACCACGGCCCCTCCTACAACAACCACCCCTGCCTCAACGACCACAAACACGGCTCCTCCTACAACAGCCACCA